CCTATTCTGAATTCAAGCACAAGGAAGAAATGAAAGATCAAAATTTCTCAAAAGGGATCTCACTTGAACTTTGTAGTCTTTAACAGCCGATGGAATAATTTCTGAGCCGAAGTCGTTGCATGAAGGATAAGTCCATGTCAAAAGCTTTAATAGAAGATCAGTTCTGAATACGTAGACTCCCATTGATGCAATATAAGGATTTTTTCTAGCATCTTGATCTGAAAGTCCTAGAACTGTAGTGTCAACTTGCTGCAATACAATATATAATGGATAGAAAACAAGATCAGACAAAGACATTGCTAATTACAAACCAAACAAAGTGCATCAATGTTATCAACCATTGCTTCCAGGTCAGATCCCTTTGGTTTCTCTGCAAAATGTAAAATACGCCCTGTGTCGTCTATTTTCATGAGACCGTAATCTGATGCTCGGCTGCAAAATAACAAAGCATTAATGAAAATCTAAGTTTTTAAAGAACACTTTATCCATGGAAATAACGATGAAAAAAGATGCCTACCTATTATCCATGGGTATGCATGAAACTGTAATATCTGCATTTGTGTCAATATGTCTCTGCAAGTACGAAGTCATCAGAAATCCTCATTGAATCACGAACAAATGAGCACGACAATACAAATACAAGTACAAACTAGTTAGGTTCACGTTATACCTGCACAAAATCCATGTAGTCCATCCGGTAAAGGTGATCGCCAGACAAAATTAGAGTGTGCTCAACATTTTTGGTCTTAGCATCCTGCAGAAACCCAATGGATAAAACGTTCATTATACATAAAAAAAAATTGACTGAAAATTCCAATCATGCTCAGAAGATTTTAGGCACCCACCTCAAATAACCATATAAATTGCCTGACAGCATCGGCAGTTCCTTGGAACCATTTTTTTCCAGTTTCACCCGAAGTTTGAGTGGCAGCTAGAACCTGTTTCTCAAACATTAATCCAGAGAATGAGCATAAGAAAGCTTCCGGGTTCATCTAATTAAAACAATTGCAAAGCAGGGGCAGATTGTAAAAAAGGGAAGTACAGGCGTCATACCTCCACGAATCCATCGCCAAAATTCACTCCATTACCAAAATTGTAAATACGAGCAAGGTGACGATTTAGAGAAAACGAATTAAACTGCGTTAGGACGAATATCTTTTCGATTCCGCTATTAATGCAATTACTCATGGGCACGTCGATCAATCTATAACAACCTCCAATTGGAACCTGCAAGTAAAAATTATTTGCTTAAATTCATGCACCAATTTGTTCGCCTGGGTTGGATCAATAGCTTCTATTATCAAGTATCTACTACAACCATCTAAATACATCTCCCCAATTAAAAACGCTCTCCAAGTTTGTGAAATTATTCTTATATAAGCAATTTGGTAGAGGTGGTTACCGCTGGTTTGGCGCGCTGGCTGGTAAGAGGAAACAAGCGAGTTCCGGCACCTCCACCCAGTATGATTGAAGCAATCTTTTTCGGATCAGCTCTAGGAGTCTCAAATATAGGAGCCTGTAAAGTCTGGGGTAAAATTTGGAGTCAAAAGTTCCGATAAAAGTTCATGTACTTTTGAATATCAAAGTACTAAATCCACTTACCGCTGTTTCCTCACTAACTTCTGACATGAGAACAGAATGAGCAACTCCCGCCGTAAGCTTTCTAGCCCTGCTATGGGAAGAAGAATCAGAATTCTTCCGCGAGTAGGCATTCATCTGTATCTGTTTGCACTTTCCGCTTCTCTCAATACTCTCTCCCCAGAACCCGGAGCATTGCACCTTCCTACCACAATGTCTGCTGGCTCTAAATGGCATCGTATTGGCCTTCAAGGTCACACCAAACGAATCCATTGTCAAATCAACTACAGATCAAGAGAAAAATCTGATCTCCGAGTAGCTTGCCCGAATATGTTAAGTCGACCACAGTGCAGAAGAAGCTTAGAAAGATCTCCGATCCTTTCCAACGCAATCGTCGAGACCAGAGCACGCGCAAAAGCCTAGATCAGAGGGAAACCAAAGCTCTGAGAAGGAGATTGAAGTACAACGCAGGGAAAAGGATCAAACGCTGGAGGAGCCCTGTCTGTAAAGGGAGTGTTGTAAGAGAAATGTAGAAGGAACAGCTTCGAATGAACAGAGTAAAGAAGAAAGGCGGGAATAGATCAAAGATCGAAGGATGAAGATCCTGGTGAGGAATGTGAAAACTCTGAACTAGCGTCGTTAAATTTGGTTTTGAGCCGCCAGAGGATCGTCGGGCGATCTTGGCTTTCAATAATGGCGAGTGCAGAGAGAGGGCGCCTTGGGACTTCGACACGGCGGGAATACGGCTATTGCAATTGGGACCTACTCGTCAGCTCTCGCTTGGCCTCTTGTAGTGATTTGTTTATAACAAAAAAATAAAAAATAAATAAAAATAAAAAGATATTTATATGCACCTAATACTTTTTTTCTAAATCAACCAACTATAAATTGGCGTTCTGCTTGACTCCAATGTGACGACAGATTCCATTAACCTTCGAGATTTGTTGTTCTTTGTTTTTTTATTCGATTAATATAATTTCGGGAAATTAAAACGAATATATATATATTATTATTTTATTATTTCAACATTTAAAAATGACCCGAATATTGTTAAACCCATTTAAAATCCTAATTTTTAAAACATTTATGAAAAATAAAATGTACTATTAAGATACTAAAATTGGTAATCTTTATTTATTTATCCATTTTAAATAAAAATATAGGAATAGAAAAAAATAATAATTTACAATCGAGATGCTCGACTAATTGTTTATGTGGATTTTGGCGTTTAATATTTTTCTTTTTTCAATGTTTAATTTTAAAAAGGAATAACATTTATGTTTGGTTATTTTAGGGTTGTATTATAATTCTTTTTATATTCTTAAAGGATTCGGATAGGTGGATTTTTGTCGAATCGTATGTACATTTTCAAATAATGTGTTTGTTCTAATTTAATTAAATTTTCTATTAATTTGATTACTTATTTAAATTCCTAATCATATGGAAAGAAATTAACAATTTAAAATTAAAACACTCATCCAACTCATCGATAGAAAAATGATTTTATTCATTGAACTTCTAACCCGGTAATCTGAACCGTGCCGTGTACGGCCCACAGTCACGTCATTTATTGATTTTTAAAAATAAAAATCAGAAAACCTAAAATAATATAAGTTGTTGGCCACATATTTCCAGCCAAGTGGACGGTTAATATTCATCGAAATTTAAGTATTAGGAGATCACGTGATCATTAAATCGGATTCGGCATCATCTTAAGACCCACCGAGGAATACATGACAGTTCCATGATTAACACCTAAAAGCAGTTATTGAGACCTTTTCTTAACCACCATGTTTTTTTACTGCCTTTAACCTCTGTTACTAACTTTCATTTGTAAAAATATCTTTAAGTTTCGAGGAAAAAGTATATTTTAAAAATTAGTTTCAAGAGTGTGTTAATAATTTTATTTTTATTTTTTTCAAAAAAAAATTAAACTTTCACAACAAAATATTAATATCTTTAATGTCTCTTTGTTCAAAAGTTTTATTATTATCTCTTTTCACGTTTTTTAAAAACAAAAAATACTATCAACAAAATTGTTATTATTATGTTTAAAAAATATTGGTTAACACACCAAACCTTAACAAAATTAAAATAATTTTTAATGTAATAAATATAAAATACATTCAATAATTATTAGATTACAAAAAAACTACCTTTGACCCATAGTATTTGTTAGTGTTGGATGATGAAAGTCTCATACATCGGCTAATCTAGGGACGTGGATTTATAAACAATAATACTCTCTCCATTAGTATGAGGCTTTTGGGGAAGTCCAAAGCAAAACTATGAGAACTCATGTTCAAATTAGACAATATCATACTATTGTGGAAAGTCGTGTTTCTCTAATAGTTAGCACATCTATCTAAGTAATAATTAAACTATATTAAAATTTCAATTTTACAAACCTACTAACATTAATATTAATTGAAGAGGCTTATTGCAATACTTAACAAATTACCTCAAAAGTTTTTAGGTGTTGTTACAATAAATCTCAAAGTTCATAAATATTTAAAAGTTAAATGGTGTTTTTGTAATAAATTATATAGTTCAGTGGCGTTCGTGCAATTTTGCCAATTATGAACAATAAAACACGGCACGAATACTTGTTATTTGGGCATTTGCAAGATTTATATATTTTTTATTATAATTATACATTTTCAAGAAAAGTGGTGGAAATAATAAAATAAACGAGATTGAGGATGATCATGCTCACATGTATAATTAAATATTATATTTCAATAAATTTAAACTGTTCGTACTAAATTAAAAAAATATATATAAAAACATTAAAGAATAAGTTTTATTTTTCTCTAAACTATCCCTGTAAGCATACACGCATCTGGGTAGCTGTCTGAATTGGCGACACGTGTAATACAAATTTCTTCCTGATCATGATGTGAAGGTTGCTGCATTTATGACCTTACACGTGGCATTCTACTCTGTAGATCGTTGAATAGGTCTGCGAGGAAATTAACAAAATGGGCGAGTATCATTGTCGTTTCAGTGTATGCAAGTCGTGCTTAATTAGGCTCCATGATCCGACAAGTCGCATCGATAAAGACATGGCATAAATGTGATTGAAACAATTGATTCCATATTGTATTCTTGGAGGATACATCAAAGAAAAATTTAACCACTAGTCATACATAACAAAATCAGTATTTAATTTAGAATTTTCTATTATACTAACTTTGATTAGTCCAAGAATTAAATAGTGTTAAAGCACGTGCGCACAAATGGATTGTAATTTGATATATTATTCAAAAAAACATCATAAAACAAATTAATTCAACTTGAGAAATACAAATTTAATTGATTTTTAATTGTTTAAATTTAATTCGATAACTATCAAATTATAATTTACACGTGGGCCCGAAAAGCAGGCCTCCATCAGGAAGGCCCATATCAAGGCTCAAAACTAGCAGGCCCAAAAGAGAAGGACGAGCGAGTGGCCATGCGACAATGCCTTGAAGAAGAACTCATCTTCTTCTTATCCTCACTTCATCGCACTCAAACGCAGCAATGGCGCTGAACCTAACGAATTCCTTTCTTCAACGCCCAATTTCCCCGGTCGTCGCACCGCCGAAGAAAAAGGTACTTTCCCCTTATTCTCACTCCTAAATGTTACGACAGCGGGGCCTGTACATTTATTTTTTCCTAAATTTCGGCGCAATTTCCAGGAATTTGGAGCGAGAAGTCACCGGGCGGTGGTGACCTGCCGGAAAAAGGATCTGCACCCCCAATTCCACGAGGATGCTAAGGTTTATTGCAATGGAGAGCTGGTGATGACGACGGGTGGGACCCAGAAAGAGTACTCGGTGGATGTGTGGTCGGGAAATCACCCTTTCTATTTAGGCAGCCGCTCTGCCCTGCTCGTCGACGCCGATCAGGTCGAGAAATTCCGCAAGAAATTCGGAGAGCTGTCGCAGTTGATGGAGATTCCTGTCCTTAAAGGGGAAATCGTTCTGCCCACGAAACGAAAATCCGGCGGCAAAGGGAAGAAAAAATAGAAGAGTGCGGAGAGTTCAGTTGGCCTGGTAATCTTTTTTAAATTCAACTACTTAATACGATTTTGGGGTTTTCTCTTGTATTTCATGTATGTAATTTAGAACAATCGAAACTAATTTGTCTGAATCGAACAATTTGTTTCTGTTTGTCGCTTGCATTGCGTCGCTGTTTGTTGAGAATCATCAATGCCGATGAACAGTTCGATGAAACTCAATTGGTTAATCATAAAACATTAATTAAAATAGAATAAAATTATGCTTTAAAATTTACAATTATTTTATCTAGTTAACTTTCTTTTATAAGGAAAAAAGTATACGTCAATTAGGCTGACACGTACACATACGTACTTTGGTTAATAGTTTTTTTAATTAGTCCTTAATCGTTTAGCGCTTCAAATTTCTTTTAATGTGTTCAAATCTATCAATTGGATAATTTTGTAAATAATTGATGTATATCAAATTATTGTTTTATTAACCTAATGATTTTATGTGACTCATAATTTCATTATTTGAATTTTATATTATTTTTTAATAAAAATCATAATTATTTTTATTAGCATAATTTCGAATAATACTTATTTAAGACATAAGGATTATATTCAACATTTTTTTTAGTTTATTTATGGATTAAATAGATTTGAACATTCAATTTATGGGTCAATAATACATGCATTAACCAATGCTCCTATCACCAATAATAATTCATTAGCTTTCTATTAAAGGGTTTAAAAATTATTTTGAGAGAGTTTTAATTTATTGTTCAATATATTAAAGATAAAATGCAGAATTTTTAAAAATTAATGAAAGTTGAAAATTTTGTGAAAGATTAATGCGGAATTGATAATTATTAGGTAATTTAATAACCTTAAAATAAGAAAAAAAACACTTGGTATAAAAGAGAGAATGCGCGGGCCGGCGGAAGAACAAATGGACGCGGGTTCTGAAAAATCCTTCGCATTCCACGTTTCTTTCATTCCGTGAGCGAGTCTTCGAGATTTCTCGCAGAGAGAAATTTTGATGCTCGAGTCGAAGAAATGATTTCACTCTCTCTTCGAAGTCCGAACTCGTCCGTAAGGCGATATCATCCACAGCGTAAAGCTCTCTCTTCTGGTGAAGGTTTCGCCTGAAGTTGAACACTGAAGTTCATTTCTACAAATGCTGAGTGGCTGATCGGCGTTCTCTTCTCAGTTGTTTGGTTCCATTGAAGCGGACCTTGATTCTACTCAAAGCAATCTGCCAAAAGTCCGATCAGGTGCATGGATCTCTTAAACTCTCTTTCTCTTCTGTGCTATTCAATTCTCTTGAATTTAACTCTCGACTGTTTGAATTTTAGACCGCGAGGGAATCTGCCGGATGGAAATCGTACTAGTGCAGGAGTACGCTGCTGATTGGAACTACAGATGCGAAGAAGCTGTCAATCTTGTCCTCACTTATCTGGATCATCTCCTCTTTTTGTATGTCTACCTTGACTCCTATTTTTCAATTTTCTTTCTCTCGGAAGTTTAGTGAAAGAATCTCCTGAAACTTTTCATCGGTTTCCTATCTCATTTTAAAGTGTGATTAGCAATATTTTATTTCTAGTTTCTTTTTTCTTTCATGAGATCGTTTAGTGAAAGAATCTCCTGAACACTTTTCATCGATTTTCTATCTTATTTTAAGGTGTGATTAGCAATATTTTATTTCTAGTTTTTTCTTTCGTTCATGAGATCGTTTTAGTGAAAGAATCTCCTGAACACTTTTCATCGGTTTTCTATCTCATTTTAAAGTGTGATTAGCAATATTTTATTTCTAGTTTTTTTTTTCTTTCATGAGATTGTTTTGTACTCTGTTAAACTGTTTTATCGTCGGTAAGTTTTGAGAAATTGATGAATTGTTTTCTGCATTCCAGTAAGACAGTGAATTATCGATGCAACTTTCTTTTCGTTTGAAATTGGATTTTCTTCAACCTACTCGTGGCCGCCGCCGATCTCTGTGCTAATTCTGTTCGTAGTTTGAGAATGTTATAGGGATACAAATGGATCCCACTGCGTGAGCGTTTCGAACCTAATGGCTTTGTCCGCACATAGGCGTCTTCTGTGGAGAGATGTAGTCATGCACGGATTGTGATGCTGCGTGTCGAATCTATGTGCAGCATGTAGTGATTCTGTAATTGGATTCCAACCATGTTGATACTGAGGTACGTTTCTATATTCATTTCATGCTAGTCTTGCTTGAACTACATCATATTTGTGAACAGTAATTGTGATAAGTGACGCTATAACTTAGCAAATATACACTTGTTGAGTTAATGATAGTTCATGTGACGGTATATTCATCATAGAACAATTGAAGTCTTTCTAAGAAAACAAAATCAATAATTCTGACGGTATACTCTTACCGACATTGGTACGTCCATGTCCTTGTATTGAGAGAATTCCTAAAGGCTATTGAGAAGAATGTCTTGGTCAGTGCAGGACGAGTCAATGTGCATCGAGACTCTTTCCTCCTCCAATCTGACCATTCTATTTTTTCTCAAGGTAGAGTTTCTTTGAGCTTTCTTTAGCTATTATCCTTCTGCTGATATTAAACACATTTAAGGATTATCATATAATGCATACAAGCTTCTAACTTTTTTGTTACACAGTAAATGTACTCATTATCAATAAATTCTCTAGCTTACTGCTGAATTAACTAAATGTTCAGAGCCATAATATCTATTGACTGTTTTGAGTGTTTCATGGTGTTGGAGGTTTGCTCATTTTTTTTCTTGCCATGAACTACCCCAATGTATGAAATATATACTTCTATTAGTAGGAAGCTTGTTCTGACGTCTAACTGGTTTTTTGGTATCTGATACACTCCTTGGGAGCAAGGAAGTAAGTTTCAAATAACTTTCACGGTGTTGTTCATTCAGAGATAAGTTAGAATGAAAAAAAAAAAAAAAAATGAACAACATGAATAAAAAGTCACAAAATAGGAAAGAGAATATGAGAAGCGGTTGGAGAATTTTCTATTACCTTTGAATGTGATTTACAATTAAAATTGCAGATTTGTAATTGAAAGGGCAACCATGATCCAACTGTCGAGAACTAACAATCCATCTCATATGGAAGAAAAACATTTTTCTTCTTTTAATTTATTTTTATATTTTAAAGAAACCATTTTATTAAAGAATCTTTTTTCTCAAAATTGTTCTTGTTATAACTGTTTCAACATCGTTTATTGATGAGTACTTATCTGGAAGTCTTTACTTACGATCTAAAAGGCTCCATTCTATTAAATAGAGTATTACAAGCATACGCTTCTTTGTTTTTAGGTAGCGAAAGTGAATTTTGCATATCTGTTGAATAATGATTTTCATCTGCCCCAACTCCCCTCCCCTCGTTCTTTTTATCCACTTGAAAGTGAAATCCCTTTCTAATACATGTTTTCATCTTTTCCAGATCAGCTGAAATATGGATGTCTTCCAACTTCAAGATTCATAACCAAAAGGAATTTCATTAACCAAAATGTGACTCGTTTTAGGATGCATCAAGCATTGAAGTTGCAGAATGGCGAGGTAATTTGCTCCTCTTTTTGTTTCAATGGTATTTAACTCGAACGTCCTTGTGATTCCCATCAATTATTTTTCTGTATTACTTAATGTTATTCTCAGTGTCAGATCCCAATTCTACACTTTCAGTGTTTGATATTATTTTTCTGTATTAGGCTTTTCGTTGCTTTGCTTCGATGTAATTAATTGACTACTCTTATGAACCTTTTTAAGTTGTAACTTGATTGCATCCAATTTATGCATCAGATATCAGAGTTAAGGTATATGCCCACTGCAATTCATTTTGACTACAAGGTATATGCCTACTACAATTCATTTCTGTGGTTCATTATTTACTATGAAGTTTTAGGTGGGTTTCGTAGACCTGTATCTAAAACCTTTTAAGTAGGAAGAATACTATGATCAAGAGAACAAAATAGTTCGCAACTAAGCAGATGTTTGTGACATCGCTAGAGGCAGAAAATTGTTACAGGCTCTAAGGGTTGTGAATTTACAACACAACAAGGGTACATGCCAAAGTTGTGGCTGTACTTCTTTTCTGTTAAGCATGAATTGGACATTTATTTATTTTACTAGAGATTCATTGTTTGTGTCCTAACTATTTGGTTGTTATCATTTTTTTTTTTTTTTTTTTTTTTGCGTCATGTTCTT